CTGATCCAGAATGTACCGCTCTAACCCGACAATCCCTTGTCTAGCAACATCCGTGGTCCATCTACGGATGGACTACAGATGTTTCAATCAAGAGAACCCTGATGGCTGGGAGTCTCCCAGCAGGAAGACCTGTGGCTGTGCCAGTGGAGCTGGTGACCAACAGCCTGGCTGGGACTGGCAGACCAGCTTGGGACTAAGACCACAGTTGGGCAGGGAGGGGTCAGAAGCCAGGGCTGGGAGCAGAGCCAGGCAGAAGAGCCTGAAATGACCACTCTTGGTCTGGCAAACTCCCTCGTTCTGGACTGGTCAGATCCCAAGAGTACTGGGCCAAGGAGGTCCAACCTGTATTATGGTTTCCAGAGCCAATATTGTCTTGTGGTCTGCTGTAATTCTTGTGAAATACTCATTTTTTGTTTCACATGTTACATGGTGGCTTAGTGGCATAAAATGTCAAGATTGTTATACTCTTAACCAGGTTTTCGGTGTTGTTGTTCCCAGAGAGTACGTCTACACTTGCACTCTCGTTCGAACTAGGGATGCAAATGTAGGGGACCAAAATTGCTAATGAAGCAGGGATTTAAATATCCCGTGCTTCATTAGCTTGATCTCACGGGCGCGTTACTCCACTGAACAGCTGTTTTGAAAGTGCATGCCGGGATGTGTTAGTTTGAACCAAATCTCTTGGTTTGAACTAACGTTACTCCTCATTTGAGAAGTAACATTAGTTCGAACCAACGTGTCCTGGCTCTCACTTTCACTTTTGAAACAGCTGTTCAGCGGAGAAACGTGCCGGCGAGATCATGCTAATGAAGCGCAGGATATTTTAATCCCCACTTCATTAGCAATTTTGGTCGCCTACATTTGCATCCCTAGTTCGAACTAGGGTTCAAGTGTAGACATACCCAGACTGATTTAAGGGTTTTTTAATGATTTTTCTGAGTGGAATTAATCCATTATTTTGCATAAGCTTTCATTCGTAGTATAGCAATAGTTTGGTTAATCCGAACCAAAGTTAGAGCCAGTTACTCCAGTGTTGCCAACTCTTGTGATTTTTTTTAAACTGTGAATTTAGTAACATTTGATTTTTTTCCTTAAGGCTCTCCACTCCTGGAATTCAGTTGAATTTACATGAGAATCTCAGCTTCTTTTTAACGTATCTAGCCCTTATAGTTGCCAGGAAGACCTTGAAAAATGTGACTCAGCTGTATGTCAAATAATTAAAGAACTGAAGGCTAATAATATTCAACATGTATTAAAACCTTCTGATTTGTCAGGGCCTGGTTCATAAGCTTTTAGTGGTCATGATAGGCAATACAGGATAATTTGGGAATACCAGTAACTTTTAAACAGAGTTTTCAAATTGAGTTTTTTACAGAGTAGGATTTTCATGTAGCAGTGTAACTTAAAACATATATACAATATTAAAGGTACAACTACATGTGCAAGATGATTTCTTGTTTCTACACAGGGAGCAGTAGTGGCCGTATTTGAAGGAGAGCTGCAATGGTGTTTAGTGATATAATAAATGTACTACCTGTATTGATGTATGACTTAAATTGTGTGGCTTGGAAAGCATTACAATTTTAAAAAAATCATTCCAAGCTGCAGGATAGACTTCATATATATGACCAAACAAACACAAATCTGAAAGATGATTGTGGGAGAAAGTATAATTACATCCTAATTTAGGACCAATAGGAAGTGGGAACAAATCCCTGTAGATGTTGTAAACATCAAGTGCTTTATTTGCAATTTTAAAGTTTAAAACATCTTGAGGTTGAAAATTTTGTTGGTTAATTGAATTTTTTTAGACACTACTATCAATGTATTGGAAGAATGTAGCAGAAGTGGATAATGTAACTTGAAAAAACAGAAAATAAAATCTTAAGACTTAAGACTTAAGACTTTTTTGTAACTGAATCTGCATGCAAATTTAGGGCTCCTTTAGACATATTTTATCGATTTTTAACTAAATTGGTAGAGAAACTAATTTAGCTGAAATGGGTGCAGCTTTCAAATGTGAATGCAATTATCAGTATAAAAATATTTATACCACGATAGCTTATTTTAATAAGTTTTATCTGTAAAACACCAATTCACTGGAATAAATATTAAAACTGTTTAGACCAGTTTTTTGATCTTTCATCAAAGTATGCTCATCCTTGCCACTGTTGTGCAGTTTTGTCTTAATGTTTGTAGAGACTTGGTGAGGCATGTTGAATTGCAGCTTGCACAAGTTGATCTAATAATTATTCTATCTTTCCTAAATTGAAATGCTTTCCAAGAACATATCCAGATGCTACCTTTTTTCTGATAGTAACTATTAAATGAACTTGTGAAGCCACTTACTACATAAATGCATTAGATTTCCAGTGCCTGATAGTAGCTTTATGTAACTTTTGGTAAACACCTTTTTTTGTTTAAAAATAAAAAGAAAAAAAGTCATCAGTTAACTTAAAGATGAAATATTATTGTTTTGATTCTTTTAACCAATACAGTTGTCCTAAAATCTTGGTTGGCTGAGGTTATGTAAAAAATTCACAGTATAAAATGACTGTCGTCATATTTCTCTCATAAGGAAATTACTACATAAAAACTTCCATTCTTTTGTCTATACGATCAAGCAATACAACTATTTCTTTCTTAGCCCACCATGCTGTAATTCTTTTTTGTAAAATATACATTAAGCTACACAGGCAGTAATCTTTCCTAACATTTCCTAATAATTCCACTGTCTTGTGTTTTCATGTTGAAAATACTTCTGCTTTTTCCTCTTGAGTGCCAACTTCTTACTAGAACGATTTCTTAATGTAATATGTTTACCTGGAATGTATTTTAACTATTTTTGTATAGTGTAAACTGAAACATGCACATTTTGTACATTGTGCTTTTTGATGTGGAACATATGCAGTGTGATCCCATTTTCCCATCATTTGGTTGCGTGACCTAAGAATATTGGTCATACCTGACATTAAATTAAAAGAATGACCACTGTTTAAAATGTTAATGTTTTATAGGAGTATGTGCTGTGAGGTGATCTGAAATTTGTCATTTTTTTGTCAAATTGTACTGCTCCTGTTTATTGTAATGTAATAAAAATAGTTATTGTGACCTTTTGTTGCTATTGAATTTGTTGCACCTTCCAATATTTATAGTTAAGTACCCTATAAACTTCATTTATTTGGCAGCCCCTTTCAATTTCTCTTGCTGTTTTGATTTCCAACCATGCTGTAATCATCTTTGCCCATCAACTTTTGTGCAACTTCACAGCCCCCACCTCCATTTACTGTCATATACTCTAACTGACTCTTTCCTTTGTGAAACCTGTAACAAATAAGTTTGGGCAAAACATTCTAGGATACTGGTCCAGGGCTTTGTTCTGTGTATTATCAGCAGGGCTTGTGACAAGTGATACTTTTTTTGCAGTTTGCTTTTCTTAAAAAACTAGGAAATTACACTCCTCCCCCCCCCCATATTAAAATAATATTATTAGTGTGGAAAATCAAACACTCATAAATGAGGAAGTAAAGATGGCAGAGTTCAGATTGTATATGTATTCTAATTAGCAGGGCTTGACAAACCGCTGTTTCTACTCGCCCGGGGCGAGTAGATTTCAGCCGGTCCCTCCGTGCGCCCCATTCACCAGCACTGTGCGCATGCACGGTGCGGGGCTGGCAGTTTGCATCAACTATTTGATTAGTCGATAAGGATGCCTCCAGGGCTGTTGCTACACTTCAAAGGCGAAAGCTCTGTGGGGAGCATGGGGTGAATGGGGGACTCAAGCAGTCCCCAGCTGACCCCGTGGTGTTTCAAAGCAGCAGCACTGCATGGAGCCCAGGGTCAGCGGATGGGAGACTCCTAACTGGCCCTGGGCTGCATGCCGCGTTTCAAAACGGCAGACCCTGGGCTCCATGCAACCCTCCTCTTTAAAGCACCCCATCCTCTTGTTGCCTCTTTTTGATAGAGGCAGCAAGGTGGGGGGAAGTGACCAGTCATTCACATCCCTAGTCACAGTTCTGGTTATCTGGTGGGGCCTGGAGCAGCTCCCTGCTCACCCTGGGCAGGGGGCTGCTCCAGCCCTGTGTGACCCACCACAGATAAGGGCTGCTCCAGCTGGCTGGAGTAGCCTCAGTTCATGGTGGGCCCTGCCTGGTTATGTGCTGTGATTCTTCGGGAACGGGACTGGCAAAGGCTGCTGGCCGGGGATCTCGCTGCTCCTGGGAAGGCATTTGCCCCTCATGGCCCCACTTCCAAGCTTTATACTGCAGAGCAGCGTTTCCCAAACTGTGGGCCTCAGCCTGGTACTGGTCCATGGGGGAAAAAATATCAGGCCTCAGCATGGTTGCCGGGGTGTTGCAGGCTCCTGGAGTGCTGGTGTGGTGCCCAGTCCCCCAAGCCCTAGGCTGGCCTGGACTGAGGATGCAGCTGGATGTTCCGAGCTCCCAGCACAGGCATAGCGAGGGGAGGAGCAGTAGCCCCTGGGTGCCATGCTAGGGGGGCGCCGGGGCGGGAAGGGGCGGGGCTCTGGGCTCACTTGGGCTGCAGGAGGAGGGAGATGCCAGGAACCCGGCACTGGACTCAAGGAGAGGGAGGCAGGGCAGGGAATCAGCACTGGGCTCAGCATGTCTGTAGTTCGGGGGGAGGTGCAGGGAAATGGAGCTCAGCTGGGCTGTGAAAGTGAAGAAATGCAGGGAGCTGG